GGAAGACTGTTGTAGCTGAATTCAGTTTTAGTGATTGCTCTTTTGGATCAAATTATTTCCAAAGTCCTATTCTGATTCTGGTCAGACCGCAGCTGGAGTACTGCGTGCAATTCTGGGCGCCACAATTCAAGAGGGATGCGGCTAACCTGGAGAGGGTCCAGAGAAGGGCCACTCGTATGGTTAAGGGCCTGCAGACCAAGCCCTACGAGGAGAGACTAGAGAAACTGGCCCTTTTCAGCCTCCGCAAGAGAAGGTTGAGAGGCGACCTTGTGGCTGCCTATAAGTTCCTCACGGGGGCACAGAAGGGAATTGGTGAGTATTTATTCACCAAGGCGCCCCTGGGGGTTACAAGAAATAATGGCCACAAGCTAGCAGACAGCAGATTTAGACTGGACATTAGGAAGAACTTCTTCACAGTTCGAGTGGCCAAGGTCTGGAACGGGCGCCCAAGGGAGGTGGTGCTCTCCCCTACCCTGGGGGTCTTCAACAGGAGGTTAGATAAGCATCTAGCTGGGGTCATCTGACCCCAGCTCTCTTTCCTGCCTATGCAGGGGGTCGGACTCGATGATCTATTGAGGTCCCTTCCGACCCTAACATCTGTGAATCTATGAATCTATGATTGTTGTCTTGTACCCTGACACAGTGGGCTGGTCAGTTGATAGATGGGGAGTGATACTTTATTTTCTTTGTTTTCAACGGTAGGAAAAAAAAGTTGTATATGTGAGTGTCACTTGACTACAGGTAAGAAAGAGGTCTTCTCGTCGTATAAATGAAAACAGGATTTTAATAACCTGACTTGCAGGTAAAAGCTGATTTTGTCATTTTTAGACAGCATATGAGCAACATTGTGCTCTTGAAGTGTGTAGAAAATCTGTCCCTAATTGTTTTCTCTCTAGCCAGTTGTTCCTCTGAATGGCTATAGGTGGAGTCCACGCTTGAAAACACATTCCTGTGGATACTGATGCTAGTAATAGCTTATTCTGATTTCTTGCTAATGCTGTTTCTTGAACTGTCTGTAATGAAGGAGGTGTTGAAACACAAAGCAGATGTGTTAGTTCTCATTAGGTGTTTCCCACTGCCCCACAGGCATTTGTTAAAATGGTTGGACACCACGTTTCTTTCCTAGAAGAACAAGTGCTTGAAGCAGAGAAGACCCATGGCAACTTTCCTCACTCTGTTCGCAAACTACTTCAGTCTGCCACTATCTCCATTTTTAAAAATGTAAGTATTGGAAAGCTTTTTGTAGCTGTCAGAAATGCCCTTTCCTCCACCTTTCCCACTGGACCTGAAAGCATTTGATGTTAGTAGGGAATGCTGCAAATATAAAAAGGGAATATAACTAACTTTTGCAATAGAAATAAGAAAAATATTTATCTTTGTAGTGAAATGGTCTAAAGGCTCTTTACTACCTTTTCAAAGTCATTGTGCGGTGGTGCTGTGGTAGTGTTAAATTGCAGAGATGTCTGTTTCAGAGATGGATAAAAAAACCATTGCTCTGTGTGTGTGTGTTGGGTGGGGGAGAGGTATACAAGCATTTATGTGGCAGTGTAATCTATATGTCATCCTGGAATGAAAGGTGCTCTGTAAGCATAAGTTGTTTTTGACTATTTAGTCAATCTTCATATTGCAGTTTTATGACAGCTTGTGTTGCAATTACATTCTCTCTGGGGACCAGCACTAGAGGGGGATGAGATGCAATCACTTTGCCAGTGAGTTTTGATGATATTTGCTGGCAGCAGAGGAATGTTAAGACTTGGGAATCCTGAGCTCCATTCCAGGCTCAGAAGGAGGGAAAGGGCTTTAGGAGGCAAAGAGTCTTTCCCCTCACCACATCTTATCCCTTCTGTCCCAGTCTTCACCAAGTCCGTCTCTATGCCAGCCCTGTCCATTGTGGGAATAGTGAGTACACAGTCTGGTCAGTATATAAGACTGGTATGGGGATGAAATGTAATGGTGCAATCTTTGGAGAATTTAGCTGTCAAACTTTGGGTATCTCCATACTGTTTGTGTGAACTATGATTTTTTTTTGTTAAGATTCATGAATTAGCCAAATTTGGTCACACTTTCACAAGAACATTAAAGGCCACATCTCTTGCCTTTGCAACTTTCAACCACCAGCTCTGAAGTATGGACAGACTAGAACGCCTCTACCTAGTTGCAAGAATTTTAACACTGAACAGATGATACGTTTCTCTGAAGTAGCTGAACTGTTTTTACTGAAGCTTCCCAAAACATCAGCCTGAAAAGTTTTGGTGCAAATTGTTAAAATTTGTTATAATTTTAAGGAATAGAAAATAGGATCTAATTCTGGACCCTAATGACAACAACCTAAGTGTCTGTAAAACGATTCACTTCTGCCAGAAGCATGCAGGAAAGAATAAGGACCTTCGTACTATAATGATGTGCTGTCAGTGGCTCTGGTTTGTGCATCTCCAGAATGTAAACTTTCATAGAGTATTCTGCTTTCCAATTTAAGCCCCATCTGATACCCAGCATTGTCCCTCAAAAAGCTCTAAATCTCTTTATTCCCTTCCTTAGACCTGTTGTTCTTCTTCCTCCAGTACTTGGATAACTCTCCTGATCACCATCATCCTCTTGAGGATCATGATGTACAGACCCAGCAGCTCTGCTAATCCTCTCTGCTGACAGTTATGTTCCACTGAATGACAAATTTGCACCTCCTGGGATTATCACTTCCCTACAATCCTCAAATGATACTTGAACTCAGCAGCGTCCCAATGGCTGAGCACCTTCAGGAATGGGGAAGGTAGAAGCCATGATCTATTTTGGCATCCTGCAAGTTGGGCAGGTGTTGGAGCTGCGCAGGTCTGACATATTTCACTGGTTCTGAAATGGCTGGCTGCCCAAATTCATGCCAGCCCAGGAAGCAGTAGAGACAGAGGATGCAGTGGCTGCATTTCTCTTAAGAAAAATTAGGCTTGTTCATTCTCTCTAGGCAGGAATAGTGTTGTTACACATAAAAGGAAAATCTGAAGTAATAAAACACCAGAAAATCTTCTTTAGATACTGAACCCATACTTTCTGGGACCCAATCATTTAATCATAGGATCCCAATCCTTTAATCATAGGATCATCCTCCTTCAGGAATAAGGACCAATGGCCAGATTGAAGCTGAAGGACAGGAGTAACAACTAGACAATGAGAACTTGTACTTGAGTTCTCTCAAGGAATGGTGGTTTAAATTCTTGCTGTTACAGAGCTTAAGAACCCTGCAGGTATGTCACTGACCCTGCTTAACAGTTAAGCATCTCCATCCCTATCTGCTGAAAAGCACTGCAAGGACAGACAGCTCTAGTCATGCAGTTAGGAACAGAAAGTATGTGTTTGCAAACTACCATTGTTACTATTTTTCAGGCTTTATTATAATCCTTCTCACCGGGCAGGTTGAATGTAGAAGCAGCTTCTTTATTTTTGCTATATTAACCTTCAAAATAACTGAGGCTGTTAATCTGTGTACCAAAGTAGTCGTTTGCAGTATTGTAATTCCATTGACTTCTCAGAATTACTAATGCAGGAATCAGCTATACTGAGCCAAGAGTTAAAGATTTTATAGTGGAGTGTTTTGTTGATCTAGATTTCCATCCTCGATGTGTGGGCATCTACAAGAATAGTCTCTCTTACAATTTTATTCAAAATGCAGTTCAATTGAATCCATTTGCTCTTCCTCTTGTCCCATATTATGTGAGTGAGTGTATGTGTACTCTCTTGTGCTCTGTCTTGCTCAGAGTATAGGATATATTTTCACTATGGTTTCAGAAACGGTTGAAATGCTCCCAGAATTTATGGTACTGTCTTATTTGAGCAGTGCCATGAGTTTTCTTTGTGTTTTACATTCCTCCCTTCTCCTGCTCCTTTAAATTACCTATTACTTTTATAATTCTCAATAGGTCTTCATTCAGGAATTTATAGAATGCATATTTGCAGACAACTCTGTAAATGGTTTTATACCAAACAATTTATAAATATACATAGCTGTTCAAAATTGAGAGGTTTCAGAATATAGTAGCCCCTGAGGGAATTCCCTTTGAAGTTATAGAACACAGGAAATGTGTTTTCCCATAAACTTTTCTCCTAGAAGGAAAGTTTCTAGCCCTGGTGACCTCTAAAGGTGCCAACACCAGCAGGTAAATTAAAAGGATCTAACACTTACTTTATTTTAAAGTCTCATGATCTTCAAGCCAACATCATGATATTGGACACTTAATTCATAGTTTCTAGGGGTCTGACTCCTTATTTTACTGGTTTGGATTAGCAAAACTGGAAACCTTTTCAATTGTATGATACTATTAATATCTTGACTGGCCAACTTTTGTATCAGTGTGACGGTTACAGTTTTGGTACAAAAAAGATTCATGCCCCTGTCTTCCTGTTCAGCGTGTGGAAGCTAGGATAGAAGTAGTTCTGGAACGATATAGAAGGATAGTAAAAGCTGTTAGCCATAATTTATATCTTATGCAATTTCTTGCCATTCGCACTTTAGAAAACAAAATCTTTTAAATGGAAAGTTTCAAATTTGGCCCCAAATTTTGTAAAACGATTGTTGAAAAGATAAAAAAAAACAAAACAACCCAGTCAAAATATCCATAATCTCTATTAAATTCTATGGAGATGTTTGCTTTTTTAAACAAACAATAAAACATCCCCTTCTGTATTTTCAATTTAAATATGTCAGCTGGGCATCTGAAAGTGAAGTCAGCTGTTTATTAAATAATTGAAAATGGCTTTTTTTAGTTTTCCTGGTCAAATCTGAGACATGCCAAAAGGGAAAATTAAAAACAATGTTAAAAGCCTCCTTCAGGATTTTTTGTCCATCAAAAAAAAAAAAAAGAAAAAAGGAAAACAGTCATAAGCCTGTTTTTGAAAAAAATATATTTTTAGGTCCCTTCTCATAATAATGTAAATAAACATATTTATTTACTCATGATTTTATTCTTTTAACCTAAATATAAAAAGAGATGCACCCATTTCCTTTTTTTCCCCTCACTCTCAACATGACCAAAACATCATTAGTATATTTAGCTTTGTGTTGCACTATCGAGTAGTAGGTACATGTTCCTGGAAAAATCATGAATTAATGCTGTCTCATTTTCTTTGAAATAACTTCCAAGTTAACATTAAGGTGTATTAATTTCAAGGGCCAGGAGCATGGTAATTATTGATGATGCTCTTCCTTTTAATAAATTTTCAGAATTTCTCATTAGATTCAGTAAGCTAGAAAAAGACAGTTTCTTTTCCACTAATGTTGTAATGTTATCTCTACTTAGCAGCTGATCATTTTGGTTTTCATTCCCTCGCCTAGGCTAAGGTGCTTGCTACCCTTTTCTGACACTGAGGAGCAATGCTGTTTTTCTCAGTGTTGCTGATTGGGAAGTTGGCTGGCCCAGGGAATTAATAATGGGATGCCAAGTTGTGCCTTTGTACTGTATCATGAGTTCAGTTATTGTGGTAGTAACTACAAGTCATTGCTTTGATTTGGTTTGAGTACCTGAGATAGAGATCCAAGAGGTGCAATTCTTATTGTGGTTGTCTATATACAATGGATCGATGAGTCCAGTCCAGATTCTGGCTGGCACTCTCCTGAGAGGCCATGCTGAATCTCTGGATTTGCCCTTTCGAACAGAGGCCAAGGCTCAAGTGAACCAAAATACTGAATGCTGTTCTCTGTATTAGAAGCAGGGTTTTTCTTAACAGAGAACATTTTTGCCAAGTTTTTTAGTTGAATAAGTATTTATGTTTTTTTTCCATTTGTTTTTTGCTGTTAGGCAGTGGAATAAGAATTGCTTCTTAGGCATTTGTCATGTCATAATCATTGCAGATCATCTTTAAAATGTAATCTCATAGTGCATGTTCAGTGTATGTCAGGATCACATTCTCATCGTCTTTTCTATTGCATACTTAAGACTTCATAACAAGAAGCATAGTCTCTTGCTTAAACCGGGGAGTTGGGAGACATTGGTTCGGTTTCTGCTTTTGCTGCAGACACTCGGGACAAATCGCTTCACCCCTTTGTGCCCTACGTTACACTCACACAGATGAGGGTGATGATACTGTCCTCATAGGATGTTGCTTAATATTAGTAAAGCATTATAAGAGAGAAAATGAGGCCTGGATTTTCATAACTAAGAGCCCGAGGCTAAGCTTCAGTGTCCATGTTTAGGTACCTGCTTAATTTTTCAAGTGCCAGCTGTTACTGACCCCAC